TAATTAGATTTTTCACATCAAGACTGTTCAAACTTGGCAATTTCAACAGTAGAATCTAGTATTTTATTCCAAGCCAGTATGTTCATGGATTTTGAAGCCCACAATATTTCAAGAAGATTCTCTACACTGATGAGCCTGTCATGAAGTTTACACATCTTACTCGTCACATTTATTAACTATCAGTTGTGAATGATCAACACAAACATAAAAGTGGTTTTCTTTTCTAAAGAAAACATAAAAATCCAAGTTTTTAAACTTGGGCCAGTATCACAATATTCAGGTATAAGTGGCACATGATTTTCAAAAGTATTAACCAGTTGCTGGTAAGTCTATTTTGCTCTACTGTGACCCCATGAATGTCAGAGTAGAAGTATGTTCTCTGGGGTTTTTAAATGGCTGACTTTTTGGAAAGCAGAAGGCAATCCTTTCTTCTGAGGTTTTGCTGGCCAGACTTAAACCTCTAATCCTTCAGGTTGCAGCAGAGTATACTAACTTTTTGCCCCACTTAAGAACTCTAAATATGGGCGGTGGGATCAGCAGGGGCTGCAGCTAGAGAGTGAGCACGATGTCTCACACCATTTTGTTGGTACAACCTACCAAGAGGCCAGAAGGCAGAACTTACGCAGACTATGAATCAGTGAATGAATGCATGGAAGGTGTTTGTAAAATGTATGAAGAACATCTGAAGAGAATAAATCCCAACAGTCCTTCAATCACATATGATATCAGTCAATTGTTTGATTTTATTGATGATCTGGCAGACCTCAGCTGTCTTGTTTACCGAGCCAATACCCAGACATACCGGCCTTACAACAAAGACTGGATCAAGGAGAAGATCTACATGCTCCTTCGTCGGCAGGCCCAACAGGCTGGGAAATAGTTGAATTGGAAGCGTTAGGGAATGGAGGTGGACTTGGAACACAGGTGTGTACAGTGTGCTGTAGTGGGAGTTTTGTATTATAGTCCTGTTTCCATTTTGTTACACTCTAGCCAGGATCGAATGTATTAGATGAAATGTGAGATTTGTTCAATCTGAAACCCCTGTTGCCCTTTTTTCCTTTTCTTTCCCCCTTCTTTCTTAAGCATTTTTATGATTTAAAAAGAAGTTGTTCTGTCAGTTAATGTTGATTTCAATCCTTCAAGATGTTCATACCTACTTTATAACATTCACCGTATTAACCCTTCTGCAAAGTAGATGGGGTGGGGGAGAACAAGTTTAGTTGTGCCCTCAAAATAAATCTTAGTTAAAAATAAATACTTTTTATATTTTCCCCCTGGAAAAAAAAGAACTCTAAATATAACGGTCTCAATATTTCTGTATTATTTTTTCACACTTAATAATTTCTTTTCATCCAGAAAGACTTTGCTGATGCCCAGTTAGAGATCTTTTCTCTGCACAGGCTACCCTGCTTCTGTTAAGACTATAAGTAAACACCCTTGGAGCTCCTTTAATCAATTTCTGTATTGATGTGGGCTAGTGGTAAGAAGTTGCGCTGCACTCCTAAATCACAATGTTTGAATCCAAAAACTGTTCCAAGGGAGAAGGATGGCCTCTGAAAACCCTCCTGAGGGTCAGCTATGGGTCACTTCTGACTTGAAGGTACTCACTACAACTACAGAGCTCAGACTCATTGTGGAAAGGGCAAAAGTGTCCAAATCTCTTCTGTAACTGTTGTGATATCCCTCACTTGAACATCATTAAATAAAAAGTAGAGACATATTCTAACTCCATTTGCCATCTGTAAAAAATGCAGTTTTTCTTTTCCTCTGCCACACAGGACAAAAAAGTCTTAACTTTTATGGCAGTTAATCAAGTAGTGTTTAAAAAGTACTGTACACCTATTACTGAGAAAAGTTATGTGGATGATGGCAAAGAATGAGGAAGTGGCTTTTCACTAATCCCTGAAGCCCAAGGGTTAAACACACAATCAGGACAGCCAACAAAAACAGAGGGGACTTTCTGGTGGCATACGGAGTAGAACACGAACAAAATATAACTTTTTTTTTCTCCTCCCAGTTTAGATCTACGACCTATATTAAGAAGCAACATGTCCTGGAAAGATACTGAACCAATAATGAGGAATAAAAAAGCAACAATTAGACATGTTAGAAGTATGCCTTTTCTTGAATAGCTTTTGTTTGAAATTACTTTGTATAATAATTATTAACTTGCACCATGGGGAAGTGAAATGCAGGTATAAACCCTAAAGTGGTCAAGTCACTAAAACTGTGATTTCCTTGGCCTTCCCTTACTAATATTAACACAAAGATACAAAAAGAGAGTTAAGGAAATTATGACTTATCTGTGAACATCTAACAGTTTTAACCAAGAATATAAACTCTGCTTTGAACATTCTAACCACAGGTTCCTACTTCTTCAACAACCATGAACAAAATAAATATTTTTTTTGTCTTTTTTTCGGTTTGTTTTTTTTACAAAATAAATATTTAAGCTACAATCTTCAATAAAGTCCCTCTGTATTTGCTGTCCATCCTAATCACCTGTTTTGCTTGTCTGCTTAGAGCCTTTAGCTCTTAGATGTTGCACCTGGAGATTCTTGCTGGCTCTTTATGATGTAGGTTTATATGCCCTTTAATTGAAAGCAAACCGCCTTAGATAATTCAGTGACAATAATGTTACAAGGTCCACTTTCCGTTAAAAGGCAAATATAAATATTGGGCTATGTTCTTTAAAATGATGAAGAAAAAAGCATAAAAATACAATCTACTCCATTTCCTTTACCGGAGAGAAAAATCTCATATCCTAAAATATGCCTCTTTTGATGTGTTCCTCCTCCATCTCCCCGGGGTGATTTGAGTGCTAGTATGAGTAGGTTGTTTTTATTGGCTATGCTATTCTCACCCTATGGCAGTACTCTGCTCAAAGAAAAACCTTATACATTGGAATAAATACTAAACTCATGTTACTGTAATGTCTATCAACTTTAACTCAAAGTTTAATATTTTTAACTACTATCTGCTGAAAATCACTTCATTAAAAAAGGTGAAACTGAGTAAGGAAGGATTTCAATAGTATTTCATTCAAAAGCAATAGGTAAAGGTTATTAAAATGAATTTACAAAAAGAAAGAATGAAAATGGGACTCAAGAGGGAATCTTTGAGGTATTGTAACTTTTATAATATAGCTGCATGATTTTAAACAGCAATATGACAACTGATCAAGAAACAGCTACTTATCATATGCTTGGACTACTGCTCACATGACCACAAGAAATATGTAGATGGTGACTTCTGGAACGGTTATGGTGCACAGCCTGCAGGGCCGTACCTCTGGAGTTACATGCATAATTTGAGTATGGCTCTGCAAACACCAATGCACAGTAATTCTGTAAAGATGAACAAGTTTGCCTAGCATTTGATAAGGCTGATCCTCTGCCTTTAACATTAGATCACAGATTGTTTTAAGAACTATTGTGTGAATTCCAATTTCTTCTGCCAAGTACAAGCAACTCACTGCAGTCAAACTGGACCGGCTTAACAGCTGACCCTCCACAAAGGTTTTTAGAAGGCTGTAAATTACCTAGGAGCAAACTGTCTTTCTCCCTCAACAAATAGTGGATTCAAACGGCTAGAGAAGTGCTGCCTTTGCGTTAGCAGTGCAAATGCAAAATACTCCTTACAGCATAAGCCACTAGAGCTCCCAACTCAACAGAGACCGATGGGAAAACAAAACAAAAATCAAGGTCTCTTTTATATTTGGTCAGACTGATATTCAACATAGGACATGTCCTGAGGCAAATAATTCAGAGTGCAGTTGGAAGATACTTTCTAAATACTATGATTTTGAGAACAAGGAATTTAATGGTAATTAAAACCTAACTTTTCACTGTTCTCAAAACAAAAGAGGGCCTTAAAGTTTAAAAGTGTCATTGGTTAGTGGGTGTTTTGGGAAAAGATTATCAATAATGATTATACAACATTAAGAATCTAACCATGCCACTTAATAATGTATGTAAAAATTGTGGAATCTGCAAATATTTTGTTATGTGTATTTTTACTGCAATCTTAAGTCACTGAAGGGTTATTTTTATATATAAAAATAGGCTCAGTGTAATAATGATAAAGTTATGATGACTAGCCACCCTTCCTATTTTAACCCTTTTCTCCCACAAGTGTGTGAAAAGTGAATCAAGACAGCAACATTTTAAAAAAAGTTAACTTATATTCAAAATATTCTGAATATAAACAATTTTAATACTACAAAGTAGTAATTCAATACAAAGCAGTTCAAATATTAACTGTTCTTTAAACTGTTAAACTTTATTATAAATTAAAATATCTTTACAAAAAAATTGCACATAATATTTGACCACTCTTAGGTTCTGATGCACTGGCAACTGCAATAGTTTCTTTTATCTTCAAGTTAAACAGTCTCAGCAAGGAGTCCAGAACGTAGAAAGGGTAATAAACAACCCTGTTAGAGCAATTCAAGTGCAACTAGCAGACTTGTGGCCATGGCAGTTACACTTAAGATGGACTGCTTAAGTTTTAAATCCTGAAATAAAGAATCTCAAAAGATTTTTAAAAGGAAGAACCAAAAGGTACTGCCTGTTTTTTACTGTAAACACAGCCCTAGAAATTAAACCCCAAACAAGAACCTCTCAGGCATCAGAGAGTGTCAAGTGAATCAGGAATAGCACAACATAAAAGGGCAAAAAGTAAAAAATAAAATAAAAATTTAAAAAAACCCACAAAATGAAAATAAATGTCAGTCACTTTGAGGAACTATACTTACGTACATGATGTTATGACAATCTGGCTGGGCCTAGAAGCAGGCCAAACAGGAAGTTCATTTATCCAACTGAAGAAGGTTATGTTCATTGCCTCCGGTTTTGAGGATAGAATATTGTAAGGAACTTGATATGATCAGTAATACTTGTCTGCTTTATACAGACCTTAGCCAGGGATCAGCCTAATCTTGAAGGATCATTCAAATAATTTGGCAATTAATATAACTTAGAACTGACTGCACCCAGTGTTCAGTGATTCTTGCTCTCTGTTTTGTTACTGTTTAAATTTAAGAGCTCATTTAGGCTGACTCCAATCTCTTGGCACTTGGAAACTAGTTTTCTCAGGTTATCAGTTTTACCTCCTTCTGATGCTTCAAACAAGAGTTGCTGTAAAAGACAGGGAAGCACATAAGTAAGATTTAGCTAGAATCTGAGCATTACCACATCAATGGATATGGCACATGCAGAAAATTTATTGGAAAACTTCAAGATGAAATAAAATATAAAAAGCATTACATCTTTCCACAGTGACGCACAAAGAGGTAACTTCTGTAAGGCTCTCTGATATAAACGGTGGACCTATAAGATAGATACAGAGAGAAGTCCATCAGGAAGCATGACAGAAAGTACCTCCATAATTCTAACTCTATAAAGAACAAACTCTAACAATTTTAACTGTATAAAGAACAAAACATAACATTCAAGACAAAAGGACTGTTGTGTTTTCAATTCTCTATACATTTAGTATTCTCAGAAGAGTAACTTTTATGCATTAACCCTTTAAATTGAAAAGTCACAAAAGAACAGTTTAAAAATATGACCCATTTCACATTCAGTAATAGCTTACCTCTTTTTGTCCCTTTAGAACAATCTCAGCAGCAATGGCTCTAAGATAAAAAGGAATATAGAAAGAAGGGGGAAAAAATTATATGTCTTTGAAAAAAAGAAAAGATACCACCACTGGCAGAATACTGACTGTGGGGATCTGAGTACAAAACTTCCTGAAAGTAACACGCTAAACTTCCAAGGAGGGTTACCTATAGTGAAAAGAAAAATTCAACAATTTTTATCAACTTTACATAGTAAAAACAAACCAGTGTTTTGAATATAAATAAAGTTCATGAAAAAAATACTCTTAACTACTAATGAAAGACACCTGCTTGGTGGAGACAGCAACCGATGTCATGGAATAATCTGTGTATGAACTGTTAAATGAAAAACTAACTGTTCGGTAAACTTTTACCTAAAACACACAAAAAAATCTTTATCTCACACTTTAATTACTAAAAGAACAAACACTTAAGTGGGAATAACCTCATATTTTAAAGGAGTCTTAAAACATATATATCAGATATATTTGACAAACAGTAGTATTTTCTGAACAGGATTTTAAATTTTCAAGGCAAATTAAAGTCTATCTTTTTCTGCCTGTAGAGGAAATTGTATTCTTGGTATTAAATTCAGCCAGTACCAAAACTAAGTCAAATGAGAGTCAAGATCTCCTCAAGAGGAAAAAATAGTTGTCATTTTAGATTTACCTGTCTGAAGTAAACCTTATAAATAAAAACAATAGCTATAAAAACATGTACTTGATTGTTGCATTACATTTTCCAGGTGGCCAGGCATGTTGGGATATTATATGTAAACATCTTGGCTTGGAGTTTCAGAATCTGAACATTGCTTTCTTCCCACTCATGTTGAAGCAGCCTGTAAAGCAGAGTCAGGAAAATGAACAAAGCACTGCAAATGTACAGAATCCCAAATGTGTACCATGAATAGAATGTCTGTGAGTAATAATTTTAACTGTTTAATTCCATTAAGGTCCTACAGAGGCCTTTCTAGAATGCCTCTTACAAAAATGATCTTGAGACAGAAATGTATCTATCTAACAAACAATCTAGTCACGACTTAGGTTCATCTTCAACAAGCTAAAGCAAGATCTATATACCCCTAAATGATATTAAAGAGCTCTGTCCAAACAACACTCTCCCTTCCTTTATCCAAATAATCATGATTTTAAAATATGAGTCCAACTTCACAGTATTAAACAGAAAATTAAACAGAGCATGCTTAATCTTGAATAGTTCTTGAACCGAGATGCAAGTACAATGACTAAGTCTGAATTCCAGTGAGAAAAAGGACAAGAAGGACCACAAGAAAATCAAGAAATATCAGCAATTACTACTACATGAAAATCTGTAAAAGAAGCTAGTCAAAATTACTACTTTCTCTGTCAAATACTTTATTAAAGTTGATGTTTTATAATAAAAATTATATTCATTAGCTTTTGCAGATTATAAAAAACACTCTTTGCCTTCTTAACACTAAGATACAATCCATACTGAAGGCCATATTTCCTGATCCTCTGCAACAAGTGCTTGAAGTCCTCAATATCAGCAAGCAAGATTGTGTCATCTCCATAATGTACGTTTACTGACGAATCTCGTTACAATCCTAACATGATATTCCTCTTCACAGAGTCCAGCTTCTCAAATAATTTGCTAAGCATACAGATTGCATAAGTATGAGGAGAATACAACCCTGACATATTCCTTCCTAATTTTAAACCTTGAGTATAGCAACTCGAGCTACTTAATCGTTCTAATGCGAAACTTATACTTGGACCAGGAGGCAGTCGTCAGAACAGAGTAAGGGAACACTGCATGGTTCAAAATTGGGAAGGGTGTATGCCAGGGATGCATCCTATCTCCATACCTTTTCAACCTATATGCAGAACAGATTATCCGGGAGGCTGGGCTCTATGAGGAGAAATGTGGGGTCAGGATTGGTGGACGATTTATCAACAATCTGCGTTATGCAGATGACACAACCCTGCTTGCTGAAACTGAGGAGGACCTGAAGCACCTGCTGTAGAGTGTCAAGGACTGCAGCCTACAATATGGATTGAGGCTCAATGTCAAGAAGACAAAGATTCTCACCACTGGACCAATTGGCAGCATCAGGATGGATGATGAAGAGATTGAGATTGTACACAACTTTAGTTTGCTTGGCTCCACAGTCAATAAATAGTCTTGGCACAAGCAATCAGGAAATTAAAAGGCGCATTGCCATGGGAAAGTCTGCTGTTAGGGACCTCTCCAAAATACTGAAGAGCAATGGTGTCTCTCTGGAGACTAAGGTGCAGCTGATAAAGGCCATCGTCTTTGCAATCACTTCTTATGCATCAGAGAGTTGGACAATGACCAAGGAGGATAGAGGTAGAACTGATGCCTTTGAGCTGTGGTGCTGGAGAAGAGTACTGAGAATACCGTGGACTGCTAGGAAAACAAACAGATTTGTCCTGGAAAGGGTTAAACCAGGTGGTTCCTTGGAGACAACGATTCTGAGGCTCCGTCTAACATGCTTCGGACATGTTGTGAGAAGAGACCGGTCCTTGGAGAAGGACATCATGCTTGGGAGGGTGGAGGGACAGTGCAGGAGGGGAAGGCCCTCTATGAGGTGGATTGATTCAGTGACTGGGATAATCGGGATGGGAGTGTCAGAGACAGTGTGATTGGCACAGGACAGAGCAGCGTTTAGGGCTGTTGTACATAGGGTCGTTATGAGTCGCAAGCGACTCGACAGCACATAACAACAACAATAGTGGTCCCTTGCTCTGTTCACACAGCAGCCTCCTGGTCCAGGTATAGATTTCATATGAGTACAATTAAGTGCTCTTGGGATTCCCATTCTGCTCAATTTTAGGCATTACTTGTTATGATCCACCCAGTTAAATGCCTTAAAGTTTTCATGAATAATTTTATATGAAGGGTCCATAGGGAGCTCTGGTGGCTTAGTGGTAAGAAATTATGTTGCAATCCCAAAGCCACATCATTTGAACCCACCGACTGTTCTATGAGGGAAGAATGGGCAATCTCTTCCCATCCAATTAACTACCTCTGAAAATCCACTGGAGGTCAGCTATGGGTTGGTTCCAACTCAAAGGCCCATAACAAAAACATACTATTGAACTGAAGACCAAAAGAATTTTATTTACTCTTACCTCAGGGCAAGTCCAGAATTAGCTGGCATAATTGAGCAAAATCGTTCCAAGGTTTCAGAATGCTGGGCCTTTGGAACACAGCTCAAATAAAAGAAAATAACCTGTAAAGGTTGAGGGGAAAAAAATTAATACAACCAAAAAATGTAAACCCCACCTACATGCTTTAATGAGAAAACCAAAATGGTCTTGAAGACATGAATGTATAAATTATGACAATGTACAATGCTGTGAGTTATATTCCTATCATTAATTATATTAGTGACTTCAAATATGAATTAGGAAATAAGGTCTAGTGATGAGAACCATGGACTGAGAAACACTGACAAGCAGTCAGGAAACTGGGATTTCATTCCTGAGTCTACCTTTACTTGCTGTATAGTTGGGCAAGTCATAGGGCTAATAATACCTGCCACATCTTGCTCATGGAATGCCCGTGTATAAATGACTTAATGTCCATAAAGTGGTTTGAGATCCTGGGACAAAGAATGGCATAAAAGTATAAAGCATAATAATTGGTTATGCTCATTATCAACAAAATTATTTCAATAAAAAACAAATCAAATGCATGTATGTGTATATGAATATATACATACACACATACATATAAGAATGCTAGTGTAATACTGCACTGAATAAATGGTTTAAGGGTTTTCTGAAAATAAACTACAAAGAAACATCTTTGTTTCATTACCCTATAAACAACTTTGTAAATATATCTTGTTGGTCAGTTTCTACTTTTAAACTGAAAAATGGCATTCTATTTTATGCTTGGTTTAAACTTGATCAAAAATAGCCGCTAGTCTCTAAATCCACTCTTACTTAGCTACAAAAATTTTTTATTCAATAAAATGTCTAAGCATTTTCCTTCATTAAATGAAAATACTAAAAAACAATGGCAATTATTTCAATATATACCATCATGTATTTCTTTAAACAATATAACTTCTATGCTAGAAGTATTTTCTTAACTAAAAAATAATCAAATGCATTTTTTTCTAATCCTGAGTTTTAAAGAGCAAAGGGACACTGTTTCTAGACTTTGAAAAGTTAAATAAGAAATATAGTTTAGAATAATGGTGAATAATAGGAAAATGGTTCTAAAAGCTCTCTTGGTATAGAATTTTTGCTGTCATTTAAGTTCTTAAATAAGAAATACAAAAAACTTAGAAAAAATTTTAAGTTCTTACCCTATTATGAAATTCATAGTTGGACCAGTAATCAGCACTGCTAAAAGGAATGGGATATCGGGCAGGGACTGTAACCAAACATCTATTCACTAAATCAGTAAAAAATGTGAAGTCTTGAAGTTTGTTTGTGGATCCAGCAGCCCTGTTATTGGCAAAGACAAGATAACTGCCAAAAGAAAAAAATATCATGCTAAGTTAGAATAACCAGTCAGTAATTCTTTCATCAAGAAAGCTGATCACCCCCTCTCCCACCACATCCCCTTATTGCAAAATTCCATCGTTATTAGGAAGAACTAAACTTACTCCAGCCAAATCTTCTGTATTATATCAGATCTCATGGTCACCCCTAATGCGGTCTCATATGCCTCCTCTGCCTCTTTAACACTTGATAGAAGGGGATGACATAGGCTGTATAAAAAAATGAAGGAAAACATGAGACAATGACAGTCCAATTCTATTAGGTAAAGGAATTCCAAAGATCATCGTAAATATTACAGACAACAGCATTTAAATCTTTCTTTTTATCTTTCTTCTTTGGTATAATTAACTTTACTATTTCTGCAACTTTGTTTCTATGGCTTTAACATAATGTTAATTTAACACAATGTCAATCAGTAACAATAAACATAAACAACACTTTTCCATACACAATAATGTCTCACCAGTAAATCAGCCACAAGTAAGGGATTTGGCTATTAAACATTTCATCATTAAAATTCCCTTTATATAAATGAGCTGGAATGTCAAGTCGTCCTGGGATATTTAAGAGACACCTAAAATAAAAACAAAATTTGAAATTATACACACATGAATTACATAATCATGCTAAAACAAAACAATGTAAGTTTTAATAAAACTTAATTTGACATATTTTAAAAAGTAGTCAAGTTTTATATTCATCTATAAACCATATCCCTATAATTATATCTGTTACTGTTATATACCATCAAGTCAAAAACAACTCATAGCTGACATTTCAGCAGGTTTTCCAGGGCTGTAAATTACCCAAGAGGAGACTGACCATCTTTCTTCTGCGGGTGGTTTCAAATTGTGTGCCTTTGGGTGAGCAATTTACAACTAGACCACCAGAGCTCCCTTCTCTTGGATTACAGCTTAGGAAATCCTATGGGTCATATCTCTAGAATCCTTTGAGTTTTATTATTTTATTCTACACGAGTAACTCTTGTTGTCTAAGATATTTTTTAAAATGGCTGAAGGTATTTCTTTTCAACTTTTCATTATGATTTGAGCAAAAGCTTACAGAGCAGATTGGTATTTTATTCAACCATTATACTTGCTCTTGTGGCCTAGTGGTAAGAACCTGAACTGCAAATCCAAAGGTACACAGTTCAAATTCACCAGCTGCTTCACAAGAGGATGAACAATTTTCTCACATGCAACTACTTAACTGACTCTGAAAACCAACTGGAGGATCACCTATGAGTCGACTCAGGTTCAAAGGCACACAACAGCAACATTCATAAAAGAGCTTTTTTAGAGGTTTTTTTTTTAAACAAATGGGCTTGTTCATTTTCTCTTTCTACACTAGTTGTTGTTGTTGCTACATGCCGTCCAGTCCCTTGCCACTCATAGCAACCGTATGTACAACAGCCCTAAACCCTGCTCTGTCCTGTGCCAATTGCACTGCCTCTGACACACCCATCCCGATCACCCCAGTCACTGAATCAATCTACCTCATAGAGGGTCTTCTCCTCTTGCACCGTCCCTCTACCCTTCCAAGCATGATGTCCCTCTCCAAGGAACAGTCCCTCCTTAAAACATCCCCAAAGTATGTCAGACGAAGCCTCAGAATCCTTGCCTCCAAAGAGCAGTCTGGTTTAACCCTCTCAAGGATAAATCTGTTTTCTTGGCAGTCCATGATACATTCAATACTCTTCTCCAGCACCACAGCTCAAAGGCATCAATTCTCCTTTTACCCTTCCTAGTCATTGTCCAACTCCCTGATGCATAACAAGTGATTGCAAAGACCATAACCTGTATCAGACACACCTAAAGTCTCCAGAGTGACACCACTGCTCTTCAGTACCCTGGAGAGGTCCCTAACAGCCCACCTTCCCATCGCAATATGTTTTTTGATTTCCTGGCTACTGGCACCAAGAGTGTTGACCGTGGAGCCAAGCAGACTAAAGTTGTTAACAATCTCAGTCTCTTAACCATCCAACCTGATGCTGCCAATTCGTCCAGTGGTGAGAATATATGTCTTCTTGACATTGAGCCTCAGTCCATGCTGAAGGCTGCAGTCCTTGACCCTCTGCAGCAAGTACATGAGGTCCTCCTCAGTTTCAGCAAGCAGGGATGTGTCATCTGCATAATGCAGACTGTTAATAGATCTTCCACCAATCCTGACGCCACCCTTCTCCTCACAGAGCCCAGCCTCTCGGATAATCTGTTCTGCATACAGGTTGAAAAGGTATGGAGATAGGACACATCCCTGGCACACACCTTTCCCAATTTTGAACCACCCAGTGTTTCCCTGCTCTGTTCTGACGACTGCCTCTTGGTCCAAGTATAGGTTTCGAATTAGAACGATCAAGTGTTCTGGGATTCCCATTCTTCTCACAGTCAGCCACAGTTTGTTATGATCCATACAGTCAAGTGCCTTTGCATAGTCAATGAAACACAGATATTCTCCTGGTATTCCCTGCTTTCAGCTAAGATCCATCTAGCATCAGCTACAATATCCCTAGTACCCCGACCCCTTCTATACCCAGCCTGGACTTCTGGTAGTTCTCTGCTGATGTGCTGTTCCAGTCGTTTTTGGATAATCTTCAGTAGAATCTTGCTTGCATGTGAAATCAATGACACTGTTCTGTAGTTTCCACACTCTGTTGGGTCACCCTTCTTTGGAATGGGAACAAATATAGATCTTTTCCAGCCAGTTGGCCAAGTGGTTGTTCTCCAGATTTCTTGGCACAACTTGGTGAGCACATCCAGGGCAGGATCTATTAACGGAAATACATCAATTGGTATACCATCTATTCCTGGGGCCTTATTTTTTGTTCTTTCCTTCAAAGCAGCTTGAACGTCTTCCTTCAGCACCATAGGCTTTTACTCATATGTTATTTCATGAAATTCTTCTGTGTCTGCCAATTCCATTTGATACAGTGACTCAGTTTATTTTTTCCATCTTCTTTTAATACTTCCTGGGTCATTTAATATTCTGCCTAAAGCATCCTTGATTATAGCAACTCTAGGTTTCAATTTGTTCTTCAGTTCCTTGAGATTAAGAAATGCTGAACGAGTTCGGCCCTTTTGATTTTTGACTCCAGCTCCTTGCACATTTCATTGTAATATTTTGCTTTGTCATCCCGTGCTGCCTTTTGGAATCTTCTTTAATTTTCAGTTCTTTAGTATCTTGAATTCTTGTGTTTTGGCTTCTCTGCACTCCAGTGCAATCTTCAGAGTTTCTTCTGACATACACTTTGGTCTTTTTTCCTCTTCTGTCTTTGTAATGACCGTTTGCACTCTTCCTGGATGATACATTTGACATCCTCCCACAACTCATTAAGTCTTTGCTCATTAAAGTTCAAGGCTTCAAACCCTCAAAGTTACTAAACTCCTCTAATTAAACCTAATTACATAGGAAAAAGCATGAAAATGTCTAATAATAAAGTCTTCCCATACATCTTGGACTTTCCTATAAAATATTTACAAAATCTGTTACCTGAAACAACTGCTCACATGCATTCATACATACCACCAGTTTTATTTTATATATGAGATCAAAGAGTTTTCTATGGCATACTGGTTAGAAAGAAATCATGATCAAATAAGGTTGGAAACTAGTGAAATTAAAGCCCCTTATTGAAAAATGACAAAACATATTGGCAAAGAAAAATGACAGAACTTATTAGGCAAGCAAAGGCTTTAAGAAGTCAATCATCAAACAAATCTATTTGACTAGATATTGTTTTTTCCCCCTCCAGCATATCTAAACCTGTATTAGAATATGTATGTGTACAAAATTTATCAATATTTTGGGTGAAATGAATTTTTTTTAAAAGGAAATATACTGATCTCAAAAACGATAAGCTAGTAAAACTGCTTACCTTGTATTTTAAAATTACTTCAAAAGAATAATGGAGAGTGTTTTTAATCTCTTTAAACCACCCAATTCTATTTCTTCTATTACTATACTTTGGCAAGATTTATAAATATTAAATTATTTCAATATAAATAAAAGGATGGCAAAAATGATGTCACAATATTATTGCCTTTCTAAAACCTGACTCAAAAAGACTTCCTAAATTAACAGAAATACATACTCTTTGTGCAAAGTCTTCTATATTCTCCAAATAAAGTAGCCAAAGGATACCTTTTTTCTCTTCTTAGTAACTTATGATTATTCTCACAAAAAGAAGAAAAAAAATTTTTTTAAGCTGGATAATTTAAAAAACAACAAAAAGATTATTTGGGGGCTATTTTAAAATTTCTACTGGTATTGTCATTTTTTTCCTCCTTAATTATTTGGTATCAAAAAAATCTTTAAAAAAAAATCATTAGTTACTAACATAAATAGTGTCAACTTTTTCTTTTAAGCTAAATAAACTAACAGTAACCCCAAGCCCAAGGGAAGACCAGAACCAACAAATATGAAGTGAGTTTGATTTAGCCTTGGATTGATTGGCCCTTTGCCAGTTTGAGAAGAAATAAAATGAACAACAGAGGTGAGCATGAGGTAGCAGTTAAGTATCTTTAAATACTTAAAGGACAATTTAATTCCTCATTAATTTGGACTTATATAACTCTTTTATAATGGAGATATTAATCAACACAGCACAGCAGTAAAGGTACTAAAACAATTGTGGTCAGAAAACTGATTACCATAAGACAAGTGAAAAGAGACTCAAGTCTGGGAAGTAACTCAAAATTTTTTTGCTATCTCTCTTAACTGCCACATTTTCAGAAAATTGTAGAAGGGAAGGACTACTGACTTAGGAGAAAGTAGGTTTTATTAGGAAATACAGTTGTGCTCATTCATTTATATAGTCAGTGGGGCTGCTTCATCCCTAAAACAGCATAGTTGGGTAGTAATAACAAGGACCGTGTGCCCTTCAAACCTAACAAATTTACAACCTTGTCCTTAAAACAGTATTTATTCAACATTATTTCCAAACTTACAGTCCTTCCATTTAGAATTAATGAAGGAAAACAGTGTAATATTTATATTCACATTAGATCACAAATAAAATAAATTATCTCCTAAAAAAATCACTAAGAGCATCTTACAACAGTTTTTTTTATTACGTGCTAAAAGTAAAACCATTAATAATAAAATTAGTCATCTTTAAAATGCACACACACGCATGTGATATGTGTCACTGAGTCAGAACCAATTCATAGCTGAACCTCCAGTAAGTTCTCAGAGGCAGTAAATCACATGGGAAGAGACTGCCTGTGCAGGAGCTGGTAGATTCAAACCCTGTGCATTTGACATTCAGCACAGCGTTTTATCATTAGGCCAACATAACTCCTTCATAAATACGCAGTTTTTAATAAATATGTAAAGTACCTTATATTTTGTCTCCATTTCTTTAAACTCTACTGCCCTCATAAGAATTCTATAAAGGAGTCTTTCAAATATAGCAGTCTAACTAAAACAAATCAAGTCACAAAATAATCTTTCCAGGGAAATTTAACTAGTCTCTATCCTCTACAAATCAAACAAGTTCTACAAACTTACTGAAACAGATCCAAGTTACTGTATTTCTCAAATCCAGGTTTAAAGAAGGATGCGAGAAATTTCCGCAAAAATGGAAGAAGCGTATCACCTTCATTCTATTTTGTTTAAAAAGGAAACATACATTAACAATATTTAAGTAAAATACTTCAAAGAAGAAGAAAATCCTCCAATATTACTAATTAGATTTAAGTCTTGCTTGGAGCAGAGGAGGGTAAAGTTCACATTCAAGAAAGGTACATTAGCACATTTGGTTAACTTTTATATCTTGATCACTGAATTAAGTTTAATTAACCACTAAGTAGCTTAACACTTAATACCACTACAGACTCAGTTTCACCCAACAATTATCTATTAAGCTTCTATCACATATTTTTCACTGTGCTGGGTATTAGGATCAAAAATTAGTAAGACCTGGTTCTTGTCCTTAAGACAAGTATATAAAGCAACTACCAACAAAATTAAAAATCAATGTAATAGGTATAACTGTTTAACTATGCATAAGGTATATCAGAGAGAAAAGGCATATAGTGTGCATTATAGGAGAAACTAAAGCATGAAATATCTTAAAGGGTGAAAAAAATAGAAATCAAAAGATCATCTTATAAAACTGATTCATTTTATTTTTTACCTGTAAGATGAACAATTTACTTGTATGATAAAAAACTTCTGCATTCTGAGGATTTTTTTCAAACGCAGTAAGCCACTCTGTTCTGGCTTTTTCATGTTGATTTGTTTGCAAGTATACAGCAACAAGGGCTTCCAACAACTGGCAGTTCATAGGACATGATTCCAGTAAATGTTTACAAAGCTTTATTGCCGCTTCAAACCTTAGTAAGAAAAAACAAAGTTTCACTACCTAAAATGAGCCATTTTAAATAGAAACGTTAAGTATGGGTCAATTAAGTTTTACCTCTCCAGAAGCTGGTACAGAGCAATCATGTTCATATAAAGTGGAAGACAGACCTCTATTCTTTTCTCAACAGTAAGGCTCTCATCAGTACAAGCTTTCACTGCATCTATCCAAAAATATCACAATATGAATTAAACATAACATATTTTATTGTGCTACCTCAGTGAAAAAAAAAAGTGGGAAAAGATGGCCTATTCTTTTACTTGATCATCATCTTACTCAGCTTTACTGAACTTCCAAATGCTTCCCATTTTTTCAAAGGAAGAAGTCCCTGAGTGGTATAAAATGTTAAATTCTTGTTTAAATCTACCAACAGGCACCTTGGAAGGAAAGACTGCCATTTGCTTCGGAAAGGTAACAGCCTGCAAAACTCTGTGTAGGTCAATTATGCAACACATGCAGTTGCTCTGAGTAGAAATTATTAACTTGAGGCAACTGCCTTTTGGCTTGATTTAACTCAAAGTAAGCACTTCAGCAATCTCCAAACTGCTATATTCAAATCCTCCTCACTTTCCTATAAAACTATCCAACAGAAGCTCTTACATCTGACAATATTTTCCCCCATAAATAAACGTCTCTGAATTTATCCTAAATTCCTTAAAATGCATCTCAAGTAATCAAAAGAATAAACACAATCCTCATTATTAGTAGAGTCTGTATTTGTAAAATTTAACTACTCACTAAAATGTATTTGTAACCTCAAAAATCAGAACCTCTGGTATTCCTGTGACCATTAACAGAAAGGAGCAAAGGAGACATGAGTTGACAGAAACAGATTTCCAAATGAAGCCAAGTAAGGCAATCTCTACGTTCTTGTTTTAGCTTTCACGATTGTGTTTTACGCTGATCATTTTGCTGTATAAAATGGCCCCTAAGTATAGGGGCAAACTGATGTTTCATATTCCTAACTGCAAGAAGGCTGTAAAGTGCCCTATGGCAAAAACAAGTAGGGAGCTCAGGTGGTGATGTCCATAGGGTGTTGTGGTGCCAACTCAAAGGCCACACCTCTCTGGCGGGGTGTTTTTTTTGTTTGTTTTTTGGTTTTTTTTTCTTTTTCTCTCTGGCGGTTTGAATCCAATAGTAGCTCTGTGGGAGAAAAATTAGCAACCTCTTCCTGTGTGATTTATAGCCTCAGAATTCCAACAGATATTCAGCTTTACATCAGTTCCAACTTAAAAGTAATGAGTGAGAAGCTCCATTCAGACATGACTTCTAAGAGTTGTTATCTTAAGTTCAGTATTTACAAAACTATATTAAAGTGCATTAAACAAAAGTACATATAAATAAAGCTATGTACTGCTCAGTTAACCAAAAAAAAGTTTTAACCAAAGGGTATTTTTCCTAAGAACAGTGGTTCCGTATTCAATAATTCTGTATTCGTATTGGCTTTATATGACAAGTTGCTTTTCTTCTTAGATGTTGCTGACTCAACTACAACTCACGGTGACCCCTGACTGATGGATCAAAATCTTGCCCTATCCTATGCCATCTTAACCATCTCTGCCATGATCAAAGCTCTCTGTTGCTGTCACTGTCTCAGTCCATTTCACTGAGTCTTCTCTTTTGCTCTCAACTTTTTCAGCCATGATGTCTTTTTCCAAGTCTGATCCCTCCTGGCAATATGTCCAAAGTATGAGAGATGAAGTTTCACTATTCTTGCCTCTACAGAGCACTCTGGTCACACTTCTTTCAAGACCAATTTCTTTGTCAGTCATTCAGTACTCTTTGACAAAACAATTCAAAAGCATCAAATCTTTTTGGTCTTCTTTATTCACTGTCCAACTTGCACATGCAGAGGTTGTTACCAGGTTCTATGAAATCAACTACTACTTATAGCGAGCAACCTTATGAACAGCATATCAGAATTTTGCCCTGTTCTACATCATCCTAACAACTATGAAAATCAATCATCCCATTTTGACAGTTTCCTATTAATGACATGTTCCTGTGCCCAGATTCAAAACTCTGAAATTATCCTTGAGTATTTCTTTTCCACTTCCTTCACTTTTCATGTTTCCACACCTCTAATGTGAAAACTTGAGATGCCTTTAGCAAATAATTCTCCTTCCTCAGGTTAATTTTCTTGTGCTTCAGTTATAATCATTAGCTACTGATTGTTTTTTCTGCTTTCTGTATCATTTCTCTTCAGTATATTGTTTCCTAAAGAATTTGTATTGACATCAAGTTTAGCACACTTTCAGAAGTTCTTGAAAATTTTGTGTCTTTATTCCTGTATTTACCAGCATAAAACTCTCACTTTGCTAAGGACTCATTCTTCTCCTTTTTCTATCCATTTGAAACTATTACTTTTTGTTAACTTCACTCTAGTTGCCCTAGTAACAATACTCTTCTTTCCCTTCCTTTACTCAGTAATTCAAGCCCCAGAAAGCCAATAAAAGGTGGCTGCAAGTCAGAACTGACTCAACAGCAGTGAGTTAATTTTTTTATTTAGTAAAATGTTACACATCATGACAGAAAACTCTGACAAATAGAGATAAGGAAGACAGAGGTTCCCATCACGAAAGAAGTTCACCATCCCAGAAAGGTTTCAAAGACACAAGGGATAAGCCATGTGACTGCTAACCAAAAGGTCAGTGGTTCAAACTCACCAGGAGAAAAAAAAAACCTGGTGTCTGTATCTTTAAAGATTTCAGTCCATGAAATCCTATGTAGCATTCTATGCTTATTAGAGCCACTATGAATCAGAATCAACCAAAATGCAGAAAGCATCTCCACCAAACACATAATAACCGGGACTTTCAAAGTCCAGTTCCTTGATAATGCTAATCTACAAAAATCTCTTTTGAATTTATACCTATACAGTTACATATATCACAGATCTTAATCTCATTACATATAATTTAGACTACGAATACATGTTAAATAATGTCAAGTGCATAGATATTTTTATCTTCTCAAGAGGCTATTCACCCTTAAAAAGAAATAACATTTTTTTGCAGTATACACTGCCTGGTTCTCACAGAAATCAATGTTCATCTTAGAGAACTCAATCCTTAATTTTTTAAGCATATATGTAATTTAAAAAATTGCAATTTACAGATATTAATTTATTCTACTTAATTAATTTATTCTACTTAATTAATTATGAAGTAATCATAACAGATAAACTGATGGCTCTAAACATAACCATTTATACATACCTTCAAAAACTGCTAACAACATGTCTGGATTAGTCTTTACATCTTGAACTGCATGCCACGGCATTACAAATGGTTCTGTGTTAACAATTCTTGAAGGATTGGCATTAGATGGATCATACAATTTTGGAGGAAGAATGTTGAATTCGATAAGATGTATGTAGGCTAGCCATGCCAAACATCGATCACTTGTTTTAAGGTATTCAGCTACTATTCTATCATTAGCAGATTTCAAAGCATTCTAGGTAAAATAAAAAAATAAACTGAAAGTGTTTTTAAAAATAATGACTCCTATTCAAAATAAGTTTCAATTATAAAGCAAGAAAAAAAATAAAAGTGATCTATTTCTGGAATGGTTCTTAAAATACCATACCCAGGCCAAAATTTTAACAGATGTCCTTTCTTTCAAAATGCAAAGCCATGACTTTATATTCCTCAAGTTAAGATACTCAATGAAGAAAAGAAATTATGTGTGCCTTTAAAACACCCCAATACTGCAAATCAAATGAGATAACAGACAATAAAAATAACAAAAAATAACCCACATAGAAAATTTTTACTCCCCTTGTTAGTTCTAATCCTGAAATTAATGTGGTGAGTATGATACATTATTTTCATTTAACCTCTTAAAACTCAAAAAAGGGTATCATTCTCACTAGGTAGTTGAGAAAAAAAATTCATGAACTTGTCCAATGTCACATAACTTACCAGTAAGTGACCAGACAGGGATTCAAATCCGAAGCCTATGTCCTTACCATTAAATAACTAACTCTATTCATAATTTAAACTTCTCTAATGGATGCATTTACATAATATGTTTACCTGTAAAATTGCAAGCGCATTTTGGTATCTTCCAGTAAATATATGCAGCTGAACTCTAAACAAAAGAGCCTCTAAAAGCTGAAAGGACAGCATATCTGAAGCTTCTTCTTTGGCTGCTCCCATCAGAAACTCCATCATCCTTTCACATACATAATCTTTTTCTTCATAGGTGCTTTCTAGGTGTAGAAACTACCCAAAGAGGTTTCAAAGAATTAATCATGTTTTATAATATGCTAGAAAACTACATTTCATTAAGAAAGTGCCAAGTTAAATCTTTAATTTCTACAAAAATTAAAAATGTTTGAAAGAAGATACCAGTCACCTAATACTATTACCTAGGTTTTTACCTTTAATGTTTCCAAGTTTATAATGAAATAAAAGTAAACAAAAAAGGTTCACTTCTAGTTCTTCTCTGTAAACAAATAGGCAAACCAAAGCAAGACCTCTACGGCCTTCTTGTAAGTCCAAATATATAGTTACATATAATTTGCACTTAGATGTGTGATGGTACAAGTCTGAACATAAGCATTTATATTAGAATTCTAATTTATATTAGAAAGGATTATTCAAGAAATCAAGTCTCTTTAACGACTTGGTAATTTAGGAAAAACAAATCTTCCGAATACCCATGCCTTATAATACTCTGCTGTGACCAAAAGCATAAACTTTTAATAAACAGGACTTTTGATTATAAAGTTCCAGGTCAAAAACAAACACCCTTCACTGTCTAAATCCAAATCAGTACTGAGTTGAAAAGAAAGTGTGACAAGTTGATTTAGTTCTGAATTCAGTCAGCAAATAAAGTCACTACATTTATCTAAAAATGTACATGTAATTATGTTATCTGAATTCAGGTACTGAAATTTCAGGTATTAATGCATCCAGGCAGTCTCTGGGTTATATTAACATTTTAAATGCATAGAGTGGTTCAGTTATTTTTCCCCTGAGGATCAAATTGCTAATACTGTATTTTTATGCAAAAAAAACATTTTATCTAGAAGCAGTCTTTTATTTATTAGCTTTTAACAGAAAAGTACACTATATATACTAAGACAAACATTTGGCTGCTGCTAAGAAGGACTTAAGAATGGAAACTATTGTAATCTGGGGACTGCCTGTACTTGTTTTATTTTATAAGTGAATCAATTACAAGTGTAAGCCTGGGTAGGAAAGATCTCATTCTCTTAAGAGAATGAAGAAAATCCTATCCTTTCAACCAAATCTCTGAATTTTGATAAAATTTGCTATTAGTATAAATTACAAATTAGGATACTTTCCACAAGCAATGAGGACATCTAATAAAAAGTCCAGAATACTTCCTGGTACTAAGAAAATTTTATACAACAAAGAATTATCTTTAGTACACTTACTTTTGAAAAAAGTACACTTAATTTTGCCCAAACTGAAACTGCTTCCTTTTAAGAGAAAAAATGTTTAATAATTGTGTATTATCTTCTTTATCAAATAGTTTAAAAATTCCCCTTAATAAAATATTTTTTGCTCAAGTAGTTCAATTAAACCTAATTCAGACAGAAGTAGCACTGACATTACTAAAACTAAAAGGAGGGAGGCAGGAAAAAGAAAGAGACTGCATTTCTTTAAGATGACCAAAAGAATTATACACACAGGATATAATCTTTCCTACTCACAGTCCAAAAACTTCGATAATCGGGAGCATATTCAACAGCTGTTTCACACATTTCCTGGACCTCCTCTTTGGTTCCTCTTTTTGAGAACAATCGGAGGTAATGGCACCAAATTTCTGGATTATCTTTGTTATTTTCCAATGCTCGAGCCAGAACATTTAAAGCAGAATCCAAGGATTCTGAACATAATCTACATGTTTAAAGAAAAGTTAGGAGTGTTAAGAATTTATAAATAGGGTTCATATACTATCGGTCTTATTTCATTTTATACTAGGACTTCTCAAGAAACTAGAACCTCAAAAATAAAAAAAATAAAAAGAAACTAGAACCTCGGATAACTAAAGGTAACAAAACTAGGATTTTTTTTTTTAACAAAACTAGGATTTTAAATAACACCTCTAAAAAAAACCCCCAAACCTGCTTGCGAATGGACCTAACAATAATTTTCTTTTAAGTGAAAGTTCAAATGAGCATTTACCTGAGGGAAAAAAAGTTACAAAATAGTAGACTGTCAACTTCAAATGTGCTTTATGTCTGTATTCAGCAACACCTTTTATGATTTACACAGGTCCAGGAAAAGTTAAGCAACTCTTTCTCAAGGTCAGAGAGTGCCAGCATGAAATATCAAAGCTTTCAATATAATAGTTCTTTTCAATAGTAAAGGGTTCCTATCTCTTAAAAGGTAATTCTCTCTCATGATCCTATTCATAAAGTAAGGTACAGTTCTTTTGGCTCAGTAAATGAGTCAGAAAAGAAAGCACTGTAACTTATTCCATTAATATGGAAATGAACATAAATAAAGTTAAATAAGTACCATACTCAAATATGTGTGGTATATTGCATTCTGCAGTACTTCCTTATTAGTAAAACTTTTATATTAAATTATATGGTCATATCAGACATACTAATTTTTAAAAAGTCAAACCATTTCATCACTAAATAGAAGTTTTTACTAAAAAAAAAAAAATCAAACCGTTATGACAACATCAAAATTTCTATAATAAAATAGTTTATATTTATTATCAATGGTTTCTTGGTGGTGGTATGTGAAGGAGGTGACTATGACTCCTGAAAAGCCTCTGAAGAACAAATCTGAACCCTCCTCCATCCTGTGCCTTCCTCACCATTTATAATATACTAGTGCCTATCCTATATTGTCACTGTGTCAATCCATCTTGACGAGGATCTTCCTCTCATACATTGACTCTCCATCTTCTTCAGTAATAATTAAGAGTCAGAAAATACAATTATACAACAGTAACTATCTATACATACTAAAATATATACACACACCTTGTTAATTAACTAGAATTTGCATGGCTAAATAACTAGAATTTTGAAGTATTTATATAAGCTTTAAATAGCCAACTGAGAAATAGTATGAAGTTTAACCTGTTCAATTGTTGTCATAATCATATGAAGAAAAATTAATCCTTACATCACTCAGTTTACTACTTGAAATACTTCTACTTTGAAATAACGTCTACTAGAGAGTTAAAATCTTTACTATAATTTATTATTCGGATGTTAAGCCACATAAACAACTCAAAATCTTATCTAAATATTTCTGAAAGCTCTAAACAATAAAAGATCATCAGACAGCTGGGGGGCAACCACTACCCAACAAAGCCCAAAGCTTTCTTTGTTACTAGGAAGGAAATAAGATTACTATAGGTGATATGCTTTAAACATAAAAATATAAATGTGCAACAATATTAGAAGCTGACCTACCCTTCATTTTGATTCAAGTACTTGTATGCAAGCTTGAGCCACAGTTGTACATGAGAAGGATTTTCAAGCACACTTGCTTCTAAATTAGCAATGTCATCAGTTTCATTTGTAAAGTATCTGACATCATCTGGAGTGACAACTGTATCCAAAGCTGGGACATTTATTCGGTTCTCTGGCTGAAAGGCTATAAGAAAAAAATACCATTACACTCCTTTCTTCAATTCATAGACATAAAAAACAGTAACTGGCTTTATCTTTAAAATTAACTGAAAACCTAAAGGTACTTGGGTTTTGGGTAGGTTATTGTTTAAAATACCTATTGGGAGAGTAAAGTGTGTTATTAAAAATATTATACCAGGATAATACTTTTAAACTAAGACTGTCCTGGATAATAAGTATATCTCCATTTAATGGGTAAAGAACATAACCTGATAATTCACATTTACTAAATTGTCAGAGCAAGTTAAAACTTTTGAAGATTAAAAGTTTTACTGATTTGAGGGGGATTATATAACAATGAAAAGAATTTTTTTTTTAACTTTTCAAAGAGAAAAGCGAACTAGGGGTAGGGGTAGGCAGAGAAGAAGTGTGCAACAATTAATGAATGAAAATACAAAATCTCTGTAAATCTTCATTAAAATAAAAAAATTCCGGGGGGGAAAAAAAAGCTTTACTGATTTAATCCAACAGAACAAGAAAAAAAGGTGTTACAGTACTTGTAAACAAGTACAAGAGAGTATCTCTCTCGGAATTTTGCTAATCTACAAATAATAAATTTAAGACTAGAATATAAAAGGTATTAAACAATGACATTCTCATTCATATACTTTGCTTTTTCACTTATTCATTCATGATGATCCTACAATGTGCCACAAAATAAAGACTCACTAATGAAATAGAGTTCCTGCCTTCATCAATACATAGGCTAGGCAATGATTTTCAAATGCAAGCAGTTCCAGTTATGGATCCCTCTTCCACAACTCTTGTAATCTGGTAATAGTGGAGGAATCTACATTTACTCAGAAGTGTATCTTGCTTTTACTGTTGTTTTTATGTGCCGTCAAGACACCTGAAACTCATAGCTACCTTATGTACAACAGCTCTGAATCCAGCACTATCCTGACCCAATCTTACTCTTATCTGACACACATACTCCCATTATCTGAGTCACTGAGTCAATCCATCTCATCGAGTCTTCCTCCCCTGCTCTGTCCCTCCACCCTCCCAAGCATAATATCTCTTTCCAAGGATGGGTCCCTCCTTGCGACATGCCCAAAGTATGTCAGACGAAGCATCAAAATCCTTGCCTCCAAGGAGTAACCTGGTTTCACCCTCTCCAGGAAAAACCTGTTTGTTCTCTTACCAGTTCATGGTCTATTCAATACTATTCTCCAGTGCCAAAGCTCAAAGGCATCAATTCTCGATCATTCCTAGTCACTGTCCAGCTTTCTGATGCATAGCATATAACTGAGAAGACCATGGCCTGGATCAGGCACACCTTAGTTTCCAGACTGACACTGTTGCTCTTCAGTACTCTGGAGATGTCCTTGACAGCCGACTTTGCCAATGCAATTCACCTTTTGATTTTCTGGCTGCTGGGACCAAAAGTGATTGTGGAGCCAAGCAAACTAAAGCTATTAACAGTCTCAAGCTCTTCACTGTCTATCATTACGCTGTCAATTGGCCCAGTGGTGAGAATCTCTGTTTTCTTGATGGTGAGCTTCAATCTGTAATGAAGGCTGCAGTCCTTGACTTTCTGGAGCAAGTGCTTCAGTTCCTCCTCAGTTTTAGCAAGGAAGGTTGTGTCATCTGCATAACACAGGTTGTTGATGAGTCTTCCTCCAATTCCTTCTCATAAGAGCCCAGCCTCCCAGATGATTTGTTCTGCATATAGATTGAAAAGGTATGGAGACAGGATACATCCCTGGCGTATACATACCCTTCCTGGTTTGTTTTTGTTGTCAGGTGCAGTCAAGTTGAGTACAACTCATAGTGACCCTATGAACAAAAGATGTGAACCCAATCCTGCCCTGCACCATCCTCTCACTTCCTGATACCCAAGAGCCCATTGCAGCAATCACCATGTCAGTCTACCAGGGTCTTCCTCTCCTTTGCCAACACTTTACTCTTCCAACATCAGTTCCTTCTTCAAGGAATGGCACCTCCTAGCAACATGAGTCATACTCAACTCAATAGGACCTAACTAACAACAATATGCCAATGAAATCCGTATAAAAACTAAACTAGAAAATTCACCTAAAAGATGAGCACAGTGTTAAACAAGTAATTCTGTAATTCTCATTGGGTTTTGTAATCATTTGCTGTAATGCTGAGAGCTGAACAGTAAATAAGAACAACAGAAGAATTAATGCCTTTGAACTATGGTACTGGAAAAGAGTGCTGAATATACCAAGTGCTGGCAAAGAACAAACAGATATGACTTGCCTGAACCTACCAATAATAGTAACAGACAAAAATGAGACTCTTCTATTTTGAAATTGTGTATCTTAAAGTACAAAAATGCTTACCATACTTAATTGGTCCTGTAGACTCTTCCTCATCACTACTGAAGCTACTCTCTGAAATAGGTTTTCTCCAAAACTTTGGCTTCCATTTTCTTTTATCTTTGTAGGTTGTATATGGAGGTGCTAGTAATAGACAAAAGAGGTCAGATGATAAAACTAGCATTTAATATTTCCTAAGGCTAGTCAAACACACTTAAAAAGAGCACTGATTTCTCTGATTTAGAGTATAATATGTTAATACTAAGAATTTAATGCAAAAAGTTGACTATCATGAAAAAACTACAAGTTCCTTCTAGATGATAAGCAGATATATACTTACTATGACCTCTACTTTCATTGATATTGCTAACAAGGAGAACAGCCATCTGGTCCATTGACATTCGATCTTTATTTACTCCAAAAAGCTTTTCAACATATTTTTCTGAAACAGGAACAATGATATCTTAATAAAGATTATTTTAAAAAAAATATTACAAAGGCTAGGCTAACGAGTATAAAATGAAAACTAGTTTGTGAATTTTAAAAAGTATATGGTATTTTTCTTGTTAAATGCCACCGAGTCATAGGCAATTCATAGCGATCCTATGAATGAAAGACCTGAACACTTGTGTAACTTTCATTCTTTCTCCAGGTTCATAGGGTTTCCAGAGGCAAGCTATTTCAGAAGTGGATGCCATTCCTGCTTCCAAGCTTGTTTTAAGTGAGGAGCTTCACGAAACACCGACCACCATGGATAATCATTATCACATTTGACACATCAGTGTCACAGTGTTCAGCTTCATAGCCACCATGTACAGCAAGTGGACAAACCAGGGATATACGACGTAGAAGAATGTTTGAACGAAACAATTAAAAACAGGCTGAGGGCCCCGATTATGGCCTTTGAAAGGGTAAGGCTTAGATTATCTTAAGTACCATAAGAAATCCTATAATATGCACCCAATTTAGTCTGAAAAAAGTATTATCTGAACTAAAGGAGGTAAAAAAAAAGTTTCAAGTTAGGAATAATCAAGTACATTGAGGATTTTCACAATTTTTCTGGGGTCTGCCAAAACCAAGTTCAGTAAATGTCAATTCCCTCATTTTCCAAAGGTGTGTAGTTTTCAGGGTACAGAATTGGGTAAAAAAATTCAGAGAAAAAAAAGTTAACAATATTTGCTCATAATGGTGCATCTGAACTTATGTCTTAAACAAGATTAAGAAATTAGTTCACTGTCTAGAGAAATAATATTTCTAAAAAAATCTGAAGACCCTTTTAAAGGAACTCCATTTAAAGAACTTTCAACAAAGATGGGAATATTTTGTTATGTGTTGTCTTGGTAAACAATGACCACATGTAGATTCTGAGCACCAAAAGTAGAGGTGGTGTAACTGGAAAATTTTTAAATTTTATTTCATTTCAACTAATTTAAACTTAAATGGCAACAGCAGCTAATGACTACTGTACTAAACAGAAATGACCTAGATAAAATGTCATGACTGAGTACATTAAATTATTATAGGTGCTTAAGGCTACACATACGTAATAATTCAATATTAAAGTCTTAAATTGCCTGAATTCACATTTTCACATTCATGGTAACAATGTCTCTACAAACCTGCTGCAGCAGCAATTTCCTCATCAGTGCTTGTCTCTGAACAACCAATTAAAGACAGATTGTATGACAGAATGTCCTGGAATAGCTGCTTTCGGCTTAGTGTATAGTCTTTAGTATGCTGCCTAAAATAAAAAGACAATGCAAAAAATATAATCATTTATTTACAGTGGAAGATAAGCAACTGAGGGGTTTTGGTTTAATTATAGTATGCTCACAAAAATACTTACCACTGGCAATCATCATCATTACATGTTCCTGTTAAATCAAAGTGGCAGAAACACTGATATGGCTCAATCATGTTACTATATGACACTGAGCTCAGCGGAAATTTTTCCTTCGTTCGGTAGTAAGGACTAAATCTAAGAACAGATGCAGACAAGCATATTTTATTCCATAAGCATATCTCAGAAAATTTCATAATTCATTCTCACCTAACATTTCTATATTTAATACCAAAAGAAACTCTAGGAAAACAGCCAGAACAAATGCTAGGGAAAAGATATTCAGCTAATAAAACATTTGAAATATGAAACAAACAAGAAAAGCCTATATTCTAAAAGTGTTTTCCAAAAGTCAGAACCCTATCCTATATAACTTTTGTACACATTGCTAGTAACACTAAAACTAGGGGACAAATCTACACTACTTGACAGGTACTTCACAATTTCCTCGCTTTACAGCGTCACAATTCCTAGAAATCTTTTTTTAAAAGGACAGTTGCTCCACAAAATTAATCATTTGAGAATATCTTTAATTTTACAAAGGCACTCCTTAGATTCAATAGTAGTAAAATGGGTGAGACAAAATTAAAGAGTCCTCATTAAGACTCTAGTTATTTTTCCTAAAATCATGGTTTTAGGATTCCAAGCAGCATCCCAGACTTCAGATTGCCATCATTAGCCAGAAATGAGAATATAGTAAGAAAAGAAACCCAAATGAAACTAAACTTCATTTGGAATATTTCAAGTCTAACAATTTCAAGACACATCACTTTTTATTTTCCCTAAAAGAATGTATCAATCTATTTTTCAGTGACCGTAAGTCACCTTTTTTCATCCAACTTGTAAGGCTTTATCATTCAGAACCAAGGAGTAATCTTGAAATGCAAGCTTATTCAATCTTTACCTGTAGGATTTAAACACTAGAAGAGGACTACGGTAGGGTGTGAAGGGCAACGGTCTCACTTCTGTTGCTCTACACTGTTCTGGGCCAGAGTCCACATCCACAGAAATCTCCTGCATAATAAAACAATCATTTTATAGAATGAATAAACATAAAATGAATTCTAGATTATATAGAAAGTATGAAATGATTGATTACCTGACCATGCAAAACTTTCTCTGTAATACCTGTGGTAGTTTTTAAGATCAACTGTTTCAAGCTGTCCGCTTTTGAATATAATTTTTGCAATTCACCAATTTTTAACCCTAGAAAAAGTTCTGGTTTTTCTAAATTACTTTTAGTAGGTTTATTCAGGCATTCTTTGTTAGATGTGTCAGTGTGTTTTAAGTTAGGTTTAGTGAAAGAATTGGATTCTATAAAGGATCTTCTTCTTTCTCTGTTTGAATCAGATAAAACTTCATCATCAACATCATTTTCCTCGGTGTCAAGGGTTAACTTATCTTGAGTCAGGTCATGAAGTGAGGGTTGAGGTAAAGAAAATTCAGATTCATCATCTACAACGGTAGCAATACTCTGCTGTTCCTTTGCTTTAAGAGCACGAGCTTGTTTTAATTTCTGAATTTTCAGGGCATACTCATATTCTAGCTTTTGTAATCGTCTTTTTTCCATAGCAATTAGTTCTGCTGAAGGCTTTCTTGGGCTTGAAATCGGAGAACTGTCCAGTCTCATCATTTTGTTTGGCTGGAGAAGAAAAATAGTATTTTACATCAATGTGATTTTATAAATAATTTTTGGAAAGTTATCTGTACTTGTTCTATAATTATATTGAGGTTGCAAAACTGAATGGAAAGAGGAGAATGTAACAGTTTAGCACAGGTCTCTAGCTGTGCAAGTTAATTTATGATCTACAAAGAAGACAAAACATTACCACAAGCACAGTTAAACAGGAACAAAAATTACTATGAATATATGTTTCTTTTATAAAAAACCAATTATCTTTAAATTTGCAAGGAAAACTTTGAGTTCTTTTCTACATCTCTTACTCTCAAAACAATTATAAACATTTTTCTTTTACAAAAATCAAAATAGCTATGTAAACAACTTACTCCAAGATGATCCTGTTCCAGTTTACGTTTCCCTATTTCTTTACTAGCCACTGCCTTTGCACGGGCAAGCTCTTCTCCATACTTTAATGTTAAAGCTTTCTTAACTGTTACACGTTGCTGAACCTTGTGAATCTGAAACAGAGATATTATGAAAATGTAGCTGAAGACATCAGGTAAAGAAAATATCTCAGTTTTGAAACAGAACTTAGGATACGCAACTGAAACTATTCATATATATATATATATATATATAAAACTATTCATATATATATATATATAAAACTATTCATATATATATACACACACATATATATATCTTAAAGCAAATAATATATAAACACACATTTTTAAAGTTTTTGTTTATGATTCTGTTTTATATAAAATTTGGCCCCTAAATATACAGTAAATAAAGAATACTACAATATTCTAATTGGAGCAGGGGGAAGAAGTATTACTTGTTCCTGAAGCTTCTTCAAAAACATTCTATTGACATTGAGGATTTTTTCAGTTGCTTGAAGCTGTTCTGTAAGTTTTGTAATCTTTGTTTCAGCATTTCGAACAGATTCTTTTTTCTTAGCTTCTTGTTGTACTAAGTTTTTTAAAACAGATTCATCTTTCATCAAGAGAATCCTAATTAGAGAAAACACCCAAAATTTTTACTGTTATAAAAACTACTTATCAACACCATGAATAGAAGAAAAAAATTGAAAGCAGGCAGCAGTTCATTTAAAAAACAGATATATGATATATATGCAGATGGAAAATTAACAAGATGAGTATTTTTGCTTCATCATTACAACCAGCATTTAATTGACATTATTTACATTTTAAGAAAGCAATTATGGTTGCTCTGATCTTTTAAGAAAATCAATTAAGCCAGAATAACCTGAGTTACAGTTGAAAAGGTCACTGCAAATATTCAATGCTATAATTAACAAGGGAAGAAGACTATTGGAATGGCAAATGTTTTGTGACCTGTTTTACATAATTTTTTTTAAATGTTCAATCTTAGCTAGTTCTATTCCTACATTTAATTAACTTAGAAATCTTAATTTTATCCTAAGCAAAGTAGATACAGAGTGACTAATTTCTAAATAATCATACAGATGAATAGCGGGAGGTAAGACATAAAAAGAACAAAGGACATATATGCATATATAATTTAGACTTTTCTCTCAAACTACTTAACAGTTGTTTTTTTTAAAAAAAACCTCTCACAAAGTTGAACATAAAACTACTAAATTTTTCAGCAATTTTATTCCTACTTATGTAACTAAAAGAATTGAAAACAAAGACTCAAAAACACTTATACAACAATGTTAATGTAGAATATTCTTAACAGTCAAAAGATAGAGCATGGCATCAAGATTAGTGGGAGACTCATCAGTAATCTGCATTATGCAGATGACACAACCTTGCTTGCTCAAAGTGAGGAGGACTTGAAGCACTTGTTGCAGAAGATCAAGAAATGCAGCCATCAGTATGCAACAAATCTCAATGTCCAGCAAACAGACATTCTTACCACTGGACTGACTGACGGGTAACATCATGATGGGTAAAGAAAAGACTGAATTCAACATTAGGAGCTTATTTATTACTCTTATTAAGAATTGGTCAATTATCAGAAGAAAATAAAATCTACCTTTACACAAAATCCATTTTTTTCAACTCTAAGTTTTCTTTAGGCTAAACATTGCTGATAGTTACTAGAACTAGTTTGAAATTCATGAGCTCTGGTGGCCTAGTGGCAAGAAGCTGCACTGGAATTCCAAAGGCACACAGTTCAAGGTAAATGTCCTCTCAGGCCATTAACTGCCTCTGAAAACTCTCCAGAAGATCAGCTTTGGGCCAGTACACAACAGTAACAATTTTAAAAGTTCCTTTGAACAACACAGTTTTAGAAAATAAAATGGCATTCTCACTTTATGATAACACAATAACAACAAGTTGTATTCATCAGCCAAGGTAATGACCATCTTTTCAACAGTTAAGCCTAGTTTTACCAATTTTTTTTTAGAAAAGCTTCCAATTTAAAAAGCACACCAGAAGTTTTGATGAAAATTCCAAGAGTTTTAAGGGGAGCTCTGGTGGCCTAGTGGCAAGAAGCTGCTGCACTACAATCCCAGAGGCGCATGGTTCTAATCCACCAGGTGCTCTGCCACGGAAGGAGGGAACAATCTCTCCCTGTACCTGTCAGATCTGATTTGACGGTACACACACACACACACACACAAAATAATAATAATTAAAAAATCTTAAAAAAAAAAAAATTCCAAGAGTTTTGCAAATGTCTCCCCAGTGCATAAATATAATTCTGAAGGAGACATCGCTCCTTTTAAAAAATACAGTTTTTGCCTGCTATTTTCTTTAATATGCGTATTTCTGAAAATTACAGACTTGTGTAATTCTACTATGTGTGAGAACTAATCATACAGTAGTTTTTAATAATACACACCACAAAATTCTATACAAATAATGTAGGAATAATTACATACAGAACAGTATTTGCTGGGATAGTGACCTCACCTATGTTTTTTAAGTTTTGCTTCTGCATCTGTAACTTGCTTTGTAACCATCGCTATTCTGCCAATCCCATCAATTTCAACATCAGAATTTGCTGGGGATGATGAATTCGTCTTCAGTTGATCTGATTTAATCAAACGTTGTCTCTCACGACTAAAATGATCATTAAAGATTAAATTCAAATTAATTTTTTAAATTTATTTTTTCATAAACTAAAAATACTCATAATAAAAACAATGAAAACCAAAATGTATGACCCAAATTAACATTCATTCAAAGATTATAGTGTAGTTCTTCCTTTCTATTAAGTGCCTTTATCTTTTCAAGCTGTTTACATGCATTCAGGGTTATAGATAATCATCTAGCTCCCCCTCCTGGGTGAACTAAAAAACATCCACTCACTTCCCAAAAGCAATAAACTTAACAAGGCTAAAAGAAGTTTTGAAAACAGATATACCTGAAAGCTGATCACATAAAACGCTACTTACTTGGCAATCTCTTCTTTTAACATTCTGTATTCAATTTTCTTTTCCTCAGGCAAAGCTTCAGGTGTTCGCATGGGATCGTTTTCTTTTTCAGATTTTGGAGGTACTTTTGGTTTTGATGCTTGCTATAAAACATATGAAATAATCTAGATCAATAAATAGCTTTCAAGCACAACAAACAGATTTATATCTTACATTGCAACTCATAACTGAATACTTCATCATTACTTCCTTTTATAATAAAAAGTAGCCTATTAACCAAACTGCATAATCCACAAAAAGTCTAGACCTAGTTAAAATACTACTCATTTTAAATAATAGGTAAAAATTGAACTAAATTATACTTTAGTAACTGTTGCAAATAGGAATAGGGATAAAAGTTATTCTGAGATGATACTTTAAAAAAAATTTGTTTGCTGGTAACATAATTTCAAAATAACAATTTCTTTAGTGTAAAGAATATTCATTCACACTCATTTTTCTATTTTTAAATAGGAACAAGTCAATTGTAAACACAAAATGAAAAATTTTGTTAAAGTGATCTAAATTTATACAAACCTAATTGTGTAAAATCGTAATACACAATACTTAAAATTATTTCCACAACTGATGTATTGGAATTTCTATGTTTAAAGCTTACTTTTCAGGGAAGTTAAGACTGTAGACAGATTTTCTTACTCCTTTTCTTCCTGAACTTACCTCAGCAGTCCGCCTTGCTTCTTTAATCATGGACTCTAGTCCACCAAAAACACTATTTGTCGACTTAGAAGCCTCTCCATCAGATTCACTATCATCTGAATCATTTAGTGTTACAACCACTGACTTATGTTTTGGAAGCTGCAAAGATAATATATTTGTTATTCTCAGTAACAAAAATATTCCTGTTTTCCTTGGCTCGACCACAATTATTAACTCCACAGCCTTGGGTAAGTCATTTAACTTTTCTGAATTACAACTTATTAATAATGTCTTCTGGTGTCACATTATGTAATTGATTTTGCCTCAAACAGTACTAACAAATATTCCACAATAATGTTTTCAAAGCTTTAAGATAATATTACTATGATAATCTTCATTATTAATTTAACTTCCTATAAAGAATCTAGATGCCATCTAAATTAGCTACTTCCTTCACCACAAATTAAAAGCATCTTTAAAAACAGCTTTATACCATTATAACAAAACGTTTCCATTTTGATGGTTAAAGTGACAAAGGTGATCTTCCTTAATGCTGGCAATAATTCAGTTTGGCTTTGCGCCATTTATTTTTCCATGGCCATTAAAAACAATGTTTAAAAAAAAACCAAAAAACACATAAAAAGAAACTCTAAGTACATGCTCCTAACAATGATAACATCATAAATATATTTCGGATTTCAATGTACTTACTGCTTAGAGAAATACAAAGAAAAGAAAAACAAAAACAAATTTAAAAAAAACACACTTCATTTTTTAACACTAACTCAGAAGACATCTGAGTGGAGTAAGTTCTAGAGAAAAAAATTAAAACATGAAAAAGTGTACCATTTTGGTAAGAATAATGCCTCTCCAGAGCCACATAGTGGGTAAAGAGATTCATTGCCAACCCAAAGTCACATGAACCCAGTTTACCAGCTGCTCCACAGGAAAAAGATGGGTTCTCCTACAGTGCAACCTACAGCCTCTGAAAAGCTCAGCTATCAATCAGTCAGTTCACACTTAACAGCACGTGACATTACCATCAGAAACCGTATCGCCAAACTCTATAAACAGTTTTTCAATTAAGAAGGTGGTTGCTTTTATATCATTAACAAATAAAAATATATATGCAAATACTTGTAATCTGTATTTTAAGGAGTAGAGAGGAGTAAGACAGCAAAAGTTTATGCAAATTATCACAGGCAGTTTTAAGTATCTGTAATATTAAGTATCTTGTTTTTACCGAGATCACAGTTCGTGGAAGACGAGGTCCTCTGTGGAACTTTGGATTCTGTATCCTAGGCTGAGATACTGTATTAATACTGACTATTGATAAATTGCTTCTTGGCACAGGCTGCGAATTGTTCACAACTGGAGGTGAAGGTGGGTCACTATTACTAGATGTTTCCTAAATAAGCAAAAACAGAAAGATTTTTAAACGTTAAAAAATCCTTTAATCTTTCCAAATCCTGAGCAAATTAGTATTAGATTTTATCCCTTCCTTATAGAAAATATGAAAGAATCTCAACTAAGCAATGAAAAATATGACTACCCAACACTAAGTGCAAGGGCACCACCTAGAGGTCCAACTACCTAAATTACCTCTGGTTTATAAGCTCTTCAATTTGCTAGAGATTTAAGCAGCTCTTCTCTTAGCAGCATTTCTTCCTCTTCTTCTTCATCTGCAAAAGGTGGTTTTGGAGGCTGTTCTGGATCTTCTGGTGGGAGTGGTGGGAGAGGTGGTGGAGGAGGTAGAGGTGCAAGAGAAGTACACAAGCCATCCACGTAAGGTTGGCTCAAAGGTGGCACAGACTAGAGTTTTGTTTAAAAAGAGAAAAACAAAGAATAATTACATTGCAAGTTTCATCAACTCCAAATGCTTATCTGTGGAACAATAATACATTATAAAAAGGTAAAATGTAGGTTATTATTTTAGCAGTAAGTTAAATTTAAGTATACTGTAAGTCTCAAGATTAACCCAGAGTTTAATCTTCACCACGAAGAAAAAGTTCTTTTTTCTAATTATTTTTTAAAAGGGTATCTGAAATACTTTGTTTATAAACTTCAAAGAATTTATAAAACATTTTTATGTTCCCATTCTTATATCTGCTTAACATTCTAAATGAAAGAGAAATAATTCTCTCCCCTTATGGGGAATAAAGAAAATAAACTCACTGCTACTGAGCCAATTCCAATTCAGTTACCTATGGGGCCAAAGAGATTGTCTGTCCTATAGGGTTCCAAAGGTACACATCTAGGAAGCAGACCATCTCCTTCTCTTCCAGAGCAGCTAGTGGAGTTGAACTACAAACCTTTTAGAAAGCAGTTTTAACCACTGCACTACCAAGGCTCACTATCTCTCTAAAGAAATACTTGGAAATGAGCAGTATTAAAAACCAAGAACATGTAATATTTATGTTAAATTGCCAAGAAGAATCACTAGTCTTTTAAATCTTTGTGATAATGGATATTGAGAAATCACCAACAAAGGAAAAAAATAACATAAAAATTTCTGATTTATGGTTTTCTGGTCTTTTAGATATTTATTTTATAATACTTCTCTTGGCATTTAGCTCACTCCTTCTCCATTTCCTAAAAGAAGACAACTCCATTCCTCTACTATCTAAGATTTTTCTCTCCATAACCTTCACAGGAAGACTGTAGATGCGCTACCTAGGAACTCTGAAAAAGCAAGGTTCTCTATCACCTACTGAGAGATATTTAGGTTAATGGTCATCATCCTCATCTCCCAGCTGTTGAGTCAAAAACAACTCAGAGTTGACCCTTCAGCAGGTTTTCAGAGGCTATAAATCACAGAGGGGAAGGCTCATCTTTATTCCATAAAGCCACTGGTTGATTTGAACCACCAAAGAAGCGTCACTCTGTGTTAGCAAGGCAACTTCCACAGAATAGGTAATCAGCATTTCCTGTTGGATTTGTAGGTTGTCTCAAACCTAGACATAACCTCAGCACTTTATGACTTTCCCCTATTGCTAGTTCCTTACTCATTTTTAAAAATGGAAGACAGGCAGCTTGCTTAAGAAAAAATAGGGAAAAAGAAATTGATTTTCACAGGTAATGTTATTCTTTTGCTAAATCTTAACATTGAAAACAACTGTGCAGTTATCAAAAGAAAGTTGATTTTTAGACATATCCTAACTCTCAAAAAGTGTCCTTAAATCTTGAAAACAGTAGCTAATTCTTATTCCACTTGGATTAAATTTTTGCAATGAATAGCTAAGCCTTAAAAGAAGAAGAACACATACAAGGTACTAAAAGAACACCAACATGAAATTAGCCATCAAAAATCTACCAAATAACCAGGCTGCTACAAACTGCTTCTTTTACAGTTTTCTTAAGTTTTATTTTTGGTTGCAAGTCTGATTTCTATAGTCCACTCTAAAGCTAATCACCCATTAATCACATGCTAGTTTTTCTGGTGCTCTCATGGGTAGAGAGTGAGCAATGCTAATCCGAAGGCAGCAACTCTCTGAGGGTTGTGCACAAGAGAAAATGAGCAATTTCCTCCCATCCAATTTAAAGCCTCTGAAAATCTGCCAGAGGGGGTTGGTTATGAGTCAGTTCCAACTCCACAGCAGTGAAAGAATGAGAAAAGCCAGAAAAGACACAGGTAACAAAAGAGAAAAAAAAAGAATTGTCCTAAAAATCTTATCAAATCTGACTTACAGAAACCTGAGGTGGTGGAGGCAAAGAAACAGACGATACGGGAGAAAAATATCCCAATGAACATTCAGAAAAGAATGGAGGTCGTGCTGGTGAAGGAGCTGTTAAAAAAAACAAACAAAGCAACTGTCAGAGTTTAATAACAATACTTCAACAGGAAAAAGTAAACATGATGGTATGTTTGAAAAAGTGTATTGATGGAGAACAAACCTTTGAGTCAAACTCTGAAAAAATCTTTAGCCCCTCTGAGAGCATCTCTCTCTCTTTAAATTGTCCTAGATCATCAAAAAGTTAATCATCTGCTTAAGTTTAGTCTCTCAAAGCTATCTGCTCTGTTGCATTTTTATATACAGAATAGAACAGGAAAAGCTAGTAACATGTTTTCTAAAGAATTAAAACTTTAAAAAATTCCCCAAGTTTCTATTAAGAGTGCCTTAACAGAAAGAAAAATAAATTATGTGATGACGCCATTCTCCCTCTCATAAGGAGCAAAAACTTTGAGGAAAAGGAACCTCCACAATTCTCTTTCACATTTTAGTAACTCTGAAACAGATAGAACTGATCCAGCCTATTTGCAATCACATTGCCCTTAGAAGTTTAAATTTCATATCTTTTTTTTTAAATTATTTTTTTATTATTGTTATTCTTTTTGTGTGTGTACCGTCAAATCGGATCTGAATGGTACAGGAGGAGCTTACCCCTCCTTCTCCAGCAGAGCATCTGGTGGATTCGAACACTCTATCTCTGGGATTGCAGTGTAAGCTTCATATGTTTTAATTAGTAAGACCAGGTCCTTCACAGTTAAATTCTGATCAACATAAACAAGGTCCTGGCTCTCAAAGATTAAAAGACAGGTCTTAGAACGTCCAAACTAACTGAGATATAGCCTTGATTGTTCTATTCAGTCTTTCTTCAGATGTTACTAGTATTACTTTATTTTTCAAATTCCTACAATTTATCATCACTGGAAGAAAATGGGCAGCCAAAAAGTAAGTTATTTTTGTTTCATTTTTCACTAAAGCACAAAGTGTCTTATATATAAACATATTTAAAACAAAATTTTTTTAAGCCAGTGTTCTCACCTTTCTCATCTTTCCTTTTTAATGAAACAAACAGCTAACAGTAAAATTTAAACAATTCTTAAAAGGTCGTCTAACGCTGAAAAAATTAGAAATAAAATTAATAGTACAAGTTTATGGTCTGTGTCCTACAAATTACAGAACTAATTCTTATCTCCGGTTGTATTATCTACCACCACATCTCCCTCAAGGGAGTTATGCTATTATTCCAAAGGTGTGCCTCTAGTTGTTTGAATTCACCAGTAGCTCTGCAGGAAAAAGATGGTCAATCGTTTTACAGAGATTTGTAGCCTCTGAAAAACTTGCTAGAGGATCAGATACAAGTTAGTTACACTTCAACAATAATGAGTGCATAATGGCCTGTTCCCTAAATATTACAGAAACAAATAGCTAGGGTTGTACAATCTATGACTAAATCTCTTTTTATTACATATTTATTTACAAGGCTTGATTAGCTAAAATGACCATTACCTACTTTATTATAGATTATGAATATATACAATGTTTCACCTTTAGCTCTTACCTGGAGAACTGGTTTCACTATCTGTATCCATAGCAACTTCTTCATAGTTATCATACTGATAAATGCTTCCTCCACTATCAGGTTGCTTATCTAAGGATCTCCTCAGGTCAGGATCTGAAGACTAAGCACACAACAAGGCTTTTTAGTTTAAAAGCAACTATGATAGAAGTACTTTCACCACAGCAATCAGAAAACAATAGCTACATTCTAGGGAATATTAGCAAAGGTCATCATCCTCTAGTTAGAGGTGCCTATCACATCTGATTTAGAAATTTTTACATGACTAATATGCTGTGATTGATCAACATGAGATGGATAAATGGAACACAGCAAGTAAAATTCCTACACATTAACTGAACTACTTAGTAGCTTATTCTTCTAGTTATTCTTCAACAAAAAGAACAGCTCTTCAACAAGTAAGCACTTCCGTAAGAATAATAAATTAACTAATAAATGTAAATTTTATTTCACCTAGAGTATATTCAGAATGTTTCAGACAGAATACAGAAACAAATTTTAATTATGACTAAATGAATGATAGCTAAAAACTAGGTAAACAAAGGAAAGGAAGACCATCAACAAGAGATAGTTTGGCACAGCAACAATGGGCTTAAGAACTGCAGGGTTTATAAAGATCACAACATTTTATCATCTTACCACAGTCAGAATTGCAAAATTTAACTGAACAGCAAGCAATAAATGCGGGTGAGATTGTGGAGAAACTGGAACCCTTACTCACTGTTGGTAGAACTGTAAAATGGTGCAACCACTGTGGAAGGAGGTATGGCGCTTTCTCAAAAAGTTGCAAATAGGGATACCATTTGACCCAGCAATTCCACTACTGGGAATATACCCTAAAGAAACCAGAACTACCACACAAGCAGATATATGCACACCCAATTTAAAGCGACTTTTTTCACAATAGCAAGGAGTTGGAAACAACCTAAGTGTCCATCAACAAATGAATGGATAGAGAAGCTGTGGTATATTCACACAATGCAATACTATACTGCATTGAAAAACAAGGAACCATGCAATATTACTCAAAATGGGTGACCCTAGAGGACATTATGCTGAGTGAAGTATCTCAGTCACGAAAGGACAAATACTGCAGGGTGCCAACTGTTGTAAAGCAGAACTGACCTTGGGGTTGGGAGGAGACTGAGAAGGATGGGTTCAATATTGTATACTGCACTGAAAACAGATGATGGAGAAAACTGTTTAAGAGGGAAAATTATTAGGGATTTTTTTGTCATGACAGGAGTCCAGAGCAAAGGCTGTACAGTGGAGTGGACCTGGGGGGAGGGATTGTAAAACAATGAAAGAACTTTTCTTTTACTTTTCCAAGAGGGTAGTGTACTAGGGGGGAGGGTTGGGAGGGGAGAAAAGTACAACAATGAATGAATGGAAATCCAAAGCCTCTGTAAATTTTCATTGAAATTAATAATACATTTAAAAAAAAAAAACAAAAAACAAGATTCAGCAGAAATTCTGTTGTCCATAAGTCTCTCTGAGTCACAATTTACTGGATGGCACTTAACAACAAATTCTAGAAACTCTTACTCGGGCTTAAATGTATGTGTTTCACAAGAAAACTTAAAAAGAAGAGCTTACACAACACAAAGCTATTATCTCTAGAAAAATACCAAACGTCTTGTTGAAGTTCCAGTTATTAATATTTATAATATTCCTGGCCTAAGTAAATCTAAGGGAGCTTTGGTAACAAGCTTCACTGCTAAGCCAAGATACACATCATTGGTGGTTTGAATATTACATCACAAGATATGGAAACCCAGCCAGTCTCCTCATACTGCACTTTAAAGCCTTGGAAGCCCCATGGAAGGTTGGAATTAATACAACAGGAGTGAATGAGTAAGGAAATCTTAACTCTGGACTCCAATTACAAACATATTTTCAAAGCTCAAAGTGGAGGGACAGGTCCTTGGAGAGGGACATCATGCTTGGGAGGGTGGAGGGACAGCGCAGGAGGGGAAGACCCTCTATGAGATGGATTGATTCGGTGACTGGGGTAATCGGGATGGGTGTGTCAGAAGTGGTGCGGTTGGCGCAGGATAGAGCAGGGTTTAGGGCTGTCGTGCATAGGGTCGCTATGAGTCGCAAACGACTCGACAGCACATAACAACAACAACAATAACACTTCTGGATGAAAAGTAAACCCTCCAAAATTTACTTTGCACATCACTCAGAAAACAATGATTTAGTCATTAGCAAAGACATACAGTAAATGCTTAATTAGTACTTGGCAATATAAAGCAGCCATACAAAACCAGCACCACCAGAACTACATCACTATTTATAGTACACATATGACATATATGATAATTTTAAAACATTTTTTTAAAATCATCTGCTCACTGTGATCAAGTCAGTGACCTATAAAGATCCTCCACTGGGTTGTGAAGATGTAAATTGCATTCTAACTAAATTTCAAGGCTGCTAATCTTTCTCCCTCCTGCTGAGCCAAACTGCCAGGAGCTAGATATCTAGCCTTTGGGTTAAAAGCACAAGTCATTATAGACTACAGTACTAGAATTCTTCACTCTCTAAATAGTTCATACTAATGAATTAATCTAGCATGTACAACTGCTGACTCCCCAATACTAAGCAATGAAAAAAACGAATGAAATTCTATACCTGTACTCAGAGAAGAGATTGTTTTTTAAATAAATACTACAATGTTGTTGTAATGTGCAGCTGAGTCAGAACTGGCTCCTGCTAACTCTCCAGCATGTTTTCAGAGGCTGTGAATTACATAAAAGGAGAATGCCCATCTTTCTCCTACAGAACAGCTGGTGGATTCAAATAGCCTGCTGTGAGTTGACAACACAATTCCTTAACCACTAAGCCACCAGAGATCCCTTACTACAATGCAGTAACGCTATTTACTTTTAAATTGAAAATGATGAAAAAGTTAAAATGTTTTACTAACTAATTTAATTTTTTCTTTCCATTTCATTTCCTTATAATACCTATACAAGACTCACTGCTAATTATATTCTTACTTGTCCTTCTCCCTAAAAGAATTATACAGTAAACATTATAAAATGCTCTGTGGCGTAACTGTTAAGCATACAGCTGCTAACTCAGGTTACTGGTTTGAACCTACCTACCTCATATCTCCACAGGAGAAAAAGCTGGCAATCTGTTCTCATAAAGATCACAGACAATCCTTGGGTTACCAATGAAATTAGATTCAAATTTGCAGTTGGTGAATAAGAAGCATATTTATTACTTTGCTTTATTTTACAGTAATGAATACAAAGAAATGTCCAAGGCTACCACGATGGGAAAAGCCCAAGGTGGTGAAGTAAGTGTAGAACTTGGTCAGCAACTAAAGGTCAGCAGTTAGAACCACTCATCACCTCCCAGGTAAAAGAAGTGACAGTCTATTCTTGTTCAAATTTTAAGCCTCAGAAATTCTATGGGACAATTCTATTCTGATCTACAGAGTCGCTAAGAGTTGAATCAACTCAACCGTAGTGAGTTTGGGTTTCAGCTAACTGAAACAAGAAAAGGCTCAAAGCCATTTTCGTAATTGAAAAACTGCAGGCAGAGCTTTAAGTAAAGGTGATAGCAATGAAGGATTTGTGGTAAGAGCTGATTCAATCTTTTCAGGGTGCAAATTTCTATAATGTTAAAGGGCAAGCAGATGTTGTCCATAAGCTAGACATTATAACCCAGGACTGGATGTATAATCAAGAAAATCTTGCAAGGCAGTTCTAATCTGTCACATGCAGTAGCTATGAGACAAAATAGCATCCGTGGCACCTTACATCATTAAACATAAAATGAAACTTTTCAGTCAGCTGAATCTATGAGGGAAGGACATGTAAATTTACATGAGGTCTTAATTTTAAACATATGCTACTGTATTTTATGTTCCTTACTTTACTTCTTGATCTTCTCTTTCCACCAACCAATTTCATGAATCGATTGTATTGCTCTTCTTGATTTGAGAGATCCCGAATTTTTCGGATTTCTTCTTCTCTTTTCCTTCTCTCTTCTTCTTCAGCTTGTTTTCTTTGATCCTCTTCTTTCTGCCTTTCCTGTTCTTTTTGTTGCTGTAGTTTCTTCCATGCCTTT